CGCCGCGAGGAGCGCCGCGAGCGCCGCGAGCTCCTCGCGCCGCCGCGGCGCCGCCAGCGCGCACGCCTCGGCCGCGAGGAACGCGCAGACGGCGCACGACAGGGCGAGCGCGCCGTCGCCGGCCTCGCGCGCGCGCCAGGCGACGACGACGAGCGACCCGAGGTGCGCCGAGTGCGCGCGCGCGAACGCGCCGCTCGCGGGCTCGGCGAGCTGCGTCGCGAGCGCCGCGCTCGCGCGCACCTTGGCGTTGCGCGACGACGAGGCGAGCAGGGTGTCGAGGTGGTAGTCCATATCGGTCTTGCTTGTTTTCTGTTGTGCGGCGCTCGAGAACTGCTCGAAGCGATTGTGCAGCACCTCTTGGAGCACGCAGCACGCTCACAGGCGTCGCAGCAGGGTGCGGCGCGCACTGAGTTTGGCGCTCAGACTGCGGCTTTGCGATTCGGGTGCTCGAGGCCTGCTTGCACCGAAAGTGCCGTCGACGCGTCCTCTCGTTGCTGCTGGTGCGCGCGGGCGCCGAGCTCGAGGGTGATGGAGAAGGGGCCGTCGCGCGGGAGGGGGTCCTCTCCCTCGTCGTCCATGCCGGGGCTGCCCCTTTCCCTCTCGGTGCACGGCGCGGCGCCCTCCGACGCGTTCACGCGCGAGGCGCTCCGGCGCGGGCTCCTCGCCTTCCTCGACGCGTCCATCCTCTCGGCGTCGCCCGGCCGGCGGCCGGGGCGGGGGTACGCGCGGGCGCAAGACGGGGGGTAAAATTTAAGCTAGGGGTAAGCCTCGTGTTTGTTGTGTGGCGTCTTCGTCACTACCCGCGCGTGATGATGATCGTGGACTTAGTCCAGTTGCGCACCGGCGGATTCCAGCTCCGACCCTGGAGCGGGCTCGTCCGCGCTGAACGCAGACGAAGCATCTCATCGTGTTACGCCCCGCTCACATCGTACACGGCCCCCGACGGATATACGACTTCCGCCGCGCCGACAAAGTACGGCGCGTACTCCCACTCCCAGGCCTTGACAAAGGCTTCGTAAACCTCGTAGAAGTCCATATCGTTCTTCAGCGCAGCAAACCCGACAAGAGTCATCCATTCAGCGTCGGCGTCGGCGCGGAGAAGCTTGTGCGTGTTGTCCGCGGCCGCGACTGCGCGATGTCCTATCATCGCGTAGTACTCCCCGAGCGCAGCCGATTTTTCAGTCCGATCCTGTTGTGCATCATCCTCAAAGATCGTCAAGCCATTATCATCGCGCGGCAACATATCGCACGCATCCTTGAAACAATCAAGCTTGACTCGGCCGGACTCGTCTAAACACTCCGCAATGTCGATCCCGTGCGCCGCAAAGAAACGGAAGGGTGCCCCCCCCGCGAGCAACCGGGAAGGAATGAAAACCCCCCACATCGAGCACGGCGGGCAAGTGAAGGACAATCGATGAGGTGCTCGGCACGAGCCGCGGCGGCGCGAGGGTGGTCACGGTCCCGAGCGGCAATCGGCGAGCGGCACTTGGCGCTTGCGCCGGCCGCCGTCCACTGAGACCCCTCTGAGCCTCCCGTCCCCCGCGGTTCCTCCCGCCCCCCCTACGTTTAGAGACGCGTCGAGGCAATCGCCCGCACCGGGGCAAAGACGTGGGCGCGCGAATCGACCTCTGCCGGCCACGACGCACGTCGTACGCGAAGGCCTGCGCGCGCGGCCATACGAGCTCCACGGAGAAGACTCAGGCGATGATCGAACTTACAGCGGGGCCGACGCGGGGGCGCCGTCGGCGGCCGCGGCCGGCGGGGGGAGCGGCCGGCGCGGCGGAAAATCGGGGGGAAGGGGCGGGCTTGCGTCGCGGCCTGGGGCGCCCCGGAGGGCGCTCAGAGGACCCACTTGGAGAGGTCGAGGAGCTCGAGCCAGGAGGCGAGCTTGAAGCCGCCGTCGGTGTACCAGTCGGCGAAGTCGTCGAAGGCGATGAGGTCGTCGCAGCCGGCGTCGTCGAAGATGGTCGCGGCGAGGTGGACCGCGGCGTCGTCGGCGTCGTCGTGGACGTCGACGGGCGCGTCGCCCGGGTCGTCGACGTCGTCGGGGAGCGACGCGAGCGCGAGGAGCGCGACGAGGAACGACCGGAGGTAGCGCCAGAGGCCGCGGCGCGTGAGCGCGCCGTCGCGGCGGTCGCCGCCCGCGCCGCCGTCGACGACCTCCCAGGCGACGGCGAGCTTCGCCGACTTGGTGCCGGAGCAGAGCAGCGCGAGGCCCGCGGCGAGCTCGCCCGCGTCCGCGCCGAGCGTCTCGTCGCGCACGAACGCGCGGTGCACGTAGCGCGCGAGCCCGGGCCCCGCGCCCCGCGCGCCCCGCGGCGCGAAGGCGCCGAGCGCCGCCTCGCAGGCCCGCGCGTCGACGCGGCCCGCGGGCGTCGCGGCGCGGAGCACCTCGCCGCAGAGCACGGACGCCTCGCAGTCCGCGGTGCCCCCGTCCACGACCAGCGCCCGGAGCCGCGCCACGGCCGTCGCCGAGAAGGCCGCGCGCAGCACGACGCGCTGGTCCGCGTCGGGCGCGACCGTGCCGTCGTCCGTCGCGAGCTCGAAGGCGACGACCGCGCGCGACGGCTCCGGCGGCGCCTCCTCCGGCGCCTCGCCGTCGTCGCGCGTGGGCCACTTGGACAGGTCCAACAGCTCGAGCCAGGGCGCGAGCTGGAAGCCCCGCGAGTTGTACCAGTTCCCGAAGTCGTCGAACGTCGCGCCGTTCGGGAACGACGACCCCCGGCTCACGACCTCGTCCGCGAGGCCGCCGGCCTCGGCGCGCGCCGCGGCGCCCACGGCGTCGGGGCTGCCCCGGCTCCCCGACGCGGCCAAAATGCCCACGAGCACCGCGCCGAGGAGCCGCGCGACGCCGTCGCCGCCGAGCGCGTCGCCGCCGCCGCCGAGGCTCTCGAACGCGAAGGCGAGCTTCTCCGACTTGCGCGCGCCGCTCAGCAGGGACGCGGCCACGACGAGCTCGCCCTTGGCCGCGACCTCCTCGCCCGGCGGGCCGTCGCAGAGCGCGTCGAAGACGCCGTTGAAGTACCACGCCGCCTCCTCCGTCGTCGCGCGGCACGCGGCGAGCCAGGCGCCGCGGTCGACGACGTCGCCGAGCTTGTGCCCGATCTCGTGCGGCCGCAGCTCCAGGAACCCGGACACGACGGCGATGAGCCGGATGAGGCCCGTCTCGTTGGGCGTCACCGACAAAGTGAAGCCCCCGATGTCGAAGGAGAACATGGTCGCGCGCGCCGTCGGTCGGCGGCGCGCGGTCGGCGCGGGCGAGGGCGGTCGCGCGCGCCCCCGTCGACCAGCGGTGTGCGCCGCTGCGGACTCGGCCGCTCCGGCGCGGTGGAGCTCGGCTTTCGAACGCTGTGGACGGCAGCGATGTTCGAGCGCGCCGCCGCTGGACGCGTCCGGACGCGTACGTCGACGCCTCTCCAGGCTATAGGAGCCGGATTACCGGTAAAGCCGCGAGCCGCCTCGGTAATACCACGGTAATTACCGGTAATCCCGATTACCCGGGTAATTACCGGTAAAATACGGTGTACCGGGACGGCTGGAGGCGGTATGGCGGCTCAAAAGGACCCCCGCGAACCCGCGTGTCGACCGAATTCCCTTTTACCCGAAGGCGCCGCACGGTGTAGCTTGCGACTCCTCTTAGGGCTCTAGGCGCGCGGGCGCGCGCGGCGGCGGGGCGGGTCGTCGCCGTCGGACTCGGTACGAGCAGCCGCTCGGTCGCGGTTTCGCGCCGCGCGTCGACCGTGACGCGGAACGCGCCCGCGACGGTCCGCGCGTCATGATCGCAGGCTACCCGTACTTGCGGGAGCTCGGCGCGCCTCGGTATTACCCGGGCCGGGAATATGGCCCTCGGTAATACCGCGGTAATTACCGGTAATTACCATACCGGTATTTTACCCGGAGATTACCCTGGCGGCTATACTCCAGGCGTCCGCCGCCCTGCCTTCTTACGCGAAGGTCGCCGCGACGACGACGCCAAGGCCAAGCACGACTCGCCCGCGCGCAAGCGCAGCATCTCGGGCTCGGGCGACGACGCCGGGTAAGGAGTTAGGCTATACGCGAGCGTCGAGGCGCGCGAGGGCCGCTTTAGCTGCCTCCTCGCCCTTGGCAGCGGCGCGCTCGAACCAGTATCTGGCTTTGCCGAGGTCGACTTCCGTGCCTTTTCCGACCATGTAGCAAACGCCAAGGTTATGCTCTCCAGCGGTGAAGCCTTGATTCGCCGCGAGCACAAAGTACCGGAACGCTTCTTCAAATTTCTTCTCAGCATCAAGCAAAACCGCTAAATTGGATTGCGCGAAAGCGCCGCCCCGGTCTGCGGCCGCGCGATACAGCTTCATCGCCTTCTTCTTGTCCAGCTTGACGCCACTTCCAGTCTGGTACAATCTCCCAAGGTTATTCATCGCATCCACGTCGCCGAGCTCCACGGCGCGGTTCCAATTCTTCGCGGCTTTCTTATCGGATTTCACGAGGCCGTACCAACCGCGGTTGTACGCACTTCCCAAATGCCAAATCGCTTCCGGCACCTCGTTCTCCACATGGCGGCGAAGACGCGCGAGGTCTTCCGCATGGCTTTTCGCGCGCGGTACACGACAAAGGGGACACTCGTTTCCGATCTTGTTCTCGCACGATGCGCAGACCATCCGGCAGCAACAGACGCGAAACGAGTTCGTCGCATTCACGTCCCACTCCTCGAGACAGATCGGGCACCGCGACCCGAGCCGTGCCGACGCCGGCTCGGGCTCCGGGTTCGCCTCGCGCCGCGCCCGGGCCGCCTCGTGCTCCGCGGCGATGCGCGCGCGGACCTCGTCGGCGTGCGACCGCGGCGCGGGGCCGTAGAACACGTCCCGCGGCGGCGACGGCGGGGGCGTCGGCGCCTCGGCCCGCGCCGCCTCCGCGGCCTGGATCTTCTTGCAGACCTTCCGGTGGCCCCGGTCGCGCCAGTCGATGCGTTGGCAGTCCGTCGAACAGTAGGCCGTCGTGCCGCACCCTTGGCACGCCTTGGCCTTGTCGGCGCCGCAGATCTCGCAGGTCTTGAGAGTGTCGAGCTTTTTGCCCTTCGCTCGGGCCATGCGATTCTCATACTCCAACTTCTTCTCCCGCCACGACATGACTTTGTGCGCCTTGACCGGGGGCGTCGCCAAAAGCTCCTGAGACTCGAGCAGCTCCTCGATCGGCCACAAGCTCCTGCGACTCGAGCAGCTCCTCGATCGCGTGACTCCGCTTGCGGCGATTTTTCAGCTCGCCGGACGCGTCGGAGGACTCGGAGAGACGTCCGGTGACTACAATACGTGGTTATTTATATGTACAGGCACACACAGGGTTGGGTTCTCTTGGATGTGGTTTCCGATTGTTCTGGTAGCGGGTCAGGTTTCCGATTGGGCTTGGGCTTCTTGCCCGGGTCGCGCGGGCGAGCACCGCCGAGCGCGTCCCCGGGCGCGGTGCGCGATTTTTCAGCTCGCCGGACGCGTCGGAGGACTCGGAGAGACGTCCGGTGACTACAATACGTGGTTATTTATATGTACAGGCACACACAGGGTTGGGTTCTCTTGGATGTGGTTTCCGATTGTTCTGGTAGCGGGTCAGGTTTCCGATTGGGCTTGGGCTTCTTGCCCGGGTCGCGCGGGCGAGCACCGCCGAGCGCGTCCCCGGGCGCGGTGCGGGCCTCACGCGTAGGCGGCGGGGACGTCGACGATGAAGGAGTCGGACTTGAGGACGTCGATGAAGGACGCGAAGTAGGACTCGAGGCCCGTGCCGGGGCTCCCGAGGTCCTCGAGCTCGGGGACCGCCGCGTTCGAGACGGGCGCCGGGTTCACGGGCAGCACGGGGAGCACGACCGGGTTCATGGGGAGCACGGGCGCGGCGGCCGGCAGGCTGACGACCGGCAGGGGCGGCGCCGACGGCAGGCTGACGTCGTCCGCGCGCGGCGCCTCCGGCGGCCGGTCGACGGCGGGCGCGGGCGCCGGCGCGGCGGTCTCGACCTTCTCGAGCGCGCCGGGCGCCTCGCCGAGGGCCGCGTCGCGCACGAAGGCCGCGAGGCTCGACACCGCCGCCGGCGGCTCCGCCGGCGGCGCGGGCGGCGGCGGCGGCGCCGCGGCCGCGGCCGCGGGCGGCGCCGCGGGCGGCGGCGGCGGCGCGGGCGGCTGCGCGGCGAGCTCGCGCTTGAGGTCGCCCTCGACGGCCGTGAGGAGCCAGCGCGGCAGGGGCTGGGCGAGGGACTCGAGCTCCATGCGCACGTGCGCGACGCCGACCTCGTCGGTGACGAGGCGGTAGGACGCGAGGAGCACGCCGTGGCGCGCGCAGACGGCCCCAAAGGCCTGGAGCAGCGTCGGCGTCATCATCGTGACGACGCGCACGAAAGTCTTCTCCTCCTTGGTCACGTAGCCGTAGACCGTCGTCGTCACGGCCGTGGGCATGATCGACGCGTGGAGCGACGGGTCGAGCGGCGGCGTCGACGCGAAGATCCACGGCCCGCTGCCGCTGCCGCTGCCGCCGTGCGACGCGTCCTTGCGCCGCTTCGGCGCCTTCTTGCCGTCGCCGGCGAGGAACCGGGCCCGCGCCGCGTCGAGCTCGGCCTTCTCGCCCGCCGTGAGCTCGCCGAGGAGCTTGAAGGAGCTCTTGCGCACGATGCGCGTCCGGCTGAACTTCTTCGTGATGCGCATCGGGCTGCACTGGAGCAGGTCCGCGAGCAGCTTCCGCAGCGACTCGCCGCCCCGCAGGCCCGGCGCCTTGCCGTTGGAGAAGTGGGCGATGATCATCGCCGCGTAGTTCTCCTCGGCCTCGGTCCACTTGCCGCCGCGCCGCGGCTTCTCGCCGGCCGCCTTCCGCTTCTTCGACGCGGGCTCGTCGGGCGGCACGTGCTGCGACGACTCGACGAGCATGGCGATGCGGTCGTGCGTGCTCTCCGTGACCTCGTGGAGGGTCTCCTCGTCCGACGTGGAGTCGCCGGAGCCCTTGGCGGCCGCGGCGGCCTCGGCGGCCTCGGCGGCCTCGGGCGACGGATCCGCGTCGCCCGCGGCCTCGGGCGCCGGGGACGACGCCTTCTCCGGGGCGCGGTGGAGGAGGGGCGGGGGGGGCGCCGCCCCGAGGGACGCCGGGAGGACCCGCGAGGGGTCGGCGGGGGCTTCGACGGCCGTCGACATGCCGATTAAGATGGTAGTCGAATCTCGCGAGGCACAGGCCGCTTCGGGGTGCTCCGAAGGCGTCCGACGCGTCCGGGCGACGGGGGCGAGGGTTGGGAGGCGGTCGCGGGGCGACCGATGCGCGCTTTGGCTCGGATGGGCGAGGAGTTCAACACCTGTGTTGACGACGGGCGAAGCTGGTGAGGAGGCCGACGAAAGCCCAAAGCCGTGAAGCACACACGGAAACAGGGGCTGAGGTAGACGTTGAAGTGACTCGCTTGAGCGCTTGAGGGACGAAGCTGCGAGTTAAAAGCCCCCTGCACGACGCCGCGTCACTCACGACCGCCCCCCCGCCACCCGGGACTCCGGCGGACCGAGGACGCGCGTTACGCGGCGTCGCGGACTCGCCCGGGCCCAGCGACGGCCGCGGGGCGACGACGCGTCGTGCAGAAGCCCCTCGGAAACGCCTCCTAGAGCGCCTAGGCGTATCACCCGATGTCCTCAGGCGCGCAGACTCAGCATTTACCGCACAGCCTGCAGGCCTGTGCGTGAAGCGGGGCCAAACTTTAAGAGGCCTCCGAAGGCTCCTCCGGATGATCCTCCCCAACAGTCCCACCACCACATCCCAGTAGAACCCAGACAATATCATGAGATTTACTACAGAGGACCGCGCCGCAGGCGAGGGAAAACGAGGAAGATCGCGGCGAGGACCGGGGGGGGGGCGAATTCGGGGCGCCGGCGCGGGGCCCCCGGGAATGATTCCCGGAGCGTGCGCGCGCCGAGCGTTTGGGATACTGAGGAACCGCTAGCTCCAGGGCGAGGGGCGCCGCTTCCGCGACAGGAGCGGGTCGGGCGCGAGCGCCGGCACGATGCCGAGCGACTCCTCGAGCGACTCCCGCGGCAGCGGCGCGGGCCGGAACTGGGCCAGCGCCTCCTTGAGCTCGAAGGCGATCACGGCGAGCTCGAGCTTCGTCAGCGGCGCGCCGCCCCGCTGCTTGAACTCCGCGCGGAGCCGCGTGACGCCGAGGTCGTCGGTCTCGGACCGGCACTCGGCGAAGCCGACGTCGTGCCTCGCGGCGACGTCGCCCAGCGACTGGAGGATCGTCGGCGACGACGTGCAGACGATGTGGAGACGCGAGCGGCCGTCGTCCTCGATGACGCCGTCGACGGACGTCGGCGTCGTCACGCGCTGCGCGGCGCCCGCGCCCTCGACCGCGAGCGGCGCGGCGCGCGCGGCGAAGTGGTGCCAGGAATCGTCCATGCCGCGAGCGTCGCTGTAGCCGGAGTCATCCATCGCGCTCGCGGAGGCGCGCCTGGAGCCGCTCGCGATTCAAATAGTCTGGCGGTCAAGATTCGTCTGCTCGAGGGGGCCGTCGTCCGTCTGCGAGCGTCCTCCTCTGAGGGCGTTTCGTCTGATGGGCGACGCGCACGCGCGTGGTGCGCTACGGCTTGCACGGATACCGGCGCGACGCGTGCGCCTAGGAGGGCGGGATCCTTGTCGCCGAGAATGCTGATCGACTCCGCAACAATCCCACCGCGAGTTGCAGCAAAACCGCCAGTGCCCCGATCAACGTACATCTAGGTGCACCCGTACGAAATATTAATAAAGATCAATCATCGAATTCCGGCCGGCGGAGCCAGAGTCATTAGTCGTCCATAGAGGCTGTACGTCGACCGCGCGCGCGGGCGCGGTGTCGCGGCGGTCCGCGGGCTGAAATCACGGCCAAAATTGGGTTATGGTCGTATCAAAGCACGTTTGATGATATTCGCGCGTTAATTGCACGTTTGCGATGGCTTTTTGCGCGCGGTCGCTGGTTCGGGTCGCGAAATCGCAAGATTTAACTTCAACAAAAGTGCTGAAGTTCAACAAAAATGTTGACTTTTAAATCCAGGCTATCAGAATCTGAGTTTTGATCGGTGCACTGAAAACCGCCCCCTCCGCTTATGCTCGCACCCCTCCCGGCGCGCCTCGGGTTCCGGAGCAGGTCGCAAAAAGGCAATCCTGTGGGGAGAGGAGCTGGCGATGCGCCTCGCCCGGCGCCACGCGTCCGCGCGTCCGCGCGAACGCAGAGCGCGCGGAGCGGGAGCTCGAAGCCTCCTCGGCGCGAATCCGATCGCGAAGCAGCGTTCCCTCGAGCGCGCGAGCCGAGCTCGCCCGCCTAGCTCTTCAGTTATACTTTGAGAGACACACACAGAGGTTACTAGACAGGCGAACGAGCCGCGCGAGAACAGACGCGAGGCGGGAGGCAAAAAAGGGGGGGGGGGGCGGAAGCGGCGGTCAAAATCTACAGGATGTGGTGCGGCGGACCGCAAGTCGCGCTACATGATGGTGGTGCGGCGCTCGAGGCGGACCGCGGGACGGTCTAGACGACGACGCGCTGAGGCGCGGAAGGCGACAGGTTCGGCGCCGAGGACCGCGCGGCGAAGGTCGGCGCCGAGGCCCGCGCGGCGAGGGCCTCCACGGACGTTGCCGCCCGCGGGTCCGTGCTGACGACGCCGAGGGAGTGGAGCTCCTCCTCGATGGAGCCCAACGGCAGCGGCGTGGGGTTGAACTCGGCGAGGGCTTCCTTGAGATCGTAGCAGAGGGCCGCGAGCTCGAGCTTCGTCAGCGGCGTGCGCACCGTCGCCTTCTTCTTGGCGACGGCGCGGACGCGGGCGACGCCGAGGTCGTCGGTCTCGAGGACGCACTCGGCGAAGCTCGCGCCGTGCTGCGAGACCGTCTCGCCGAGCGACGCGAGGAGCGTCGGCGACCACATGGTCTGCACGAAGAGCACGGACTTGAGGCCGACGAGCTCGCACTCCTGGAGGTCGCCGGTGACGGACGTGGGGATCTTGAGCGCGCCCAGGCCGGACGCGAACGCGGCCGCCTCGCGCGACGCGCCCGCGCCGACGACCTCGAGCGCCGCGTCCTCAAAGTGCGGGTCGCTCGACAGATCCTCCTCCTCGTCCGACATGTCGGACACGTCGTCGCCGTCGACGGGGTAGTTGGTGGCGATGACGCGCACCTTCTCCTTCTTCTTGATGGGCATTCTAAATCAGAGCGAGGGCGTTTCGGGCCTCTCCGACGTCGACGCCCGCAGAACTCGAGGCGTATGCCGCGCGCACACGAAGGAGGGGGCGGGGGCGGCGCGTCGAGGCGGTTCAGGCGTCGACGGCGTCCCAGAGGCCGCGGAGAAGACGAGGATCTATGACGACGAGGCTGGAATCGGATCAATTTCACATTCTGTGAGTTTCGCCTGCAACTGGCGTCCAGGCGCCTAGGCATCATCTCGAAACCGGCTTCGAAAAATCCGCCTAGGGCGTAGATTGGGCGTCGCCACCAGAGCCAGTCAATTGCCTCGCCATCCTACCGGAGTCAACGACCGCACGAGCCGTCTCAACTCGCTCGCGCGGCGCGGCGCGACGTCGGCGCGTCGGCCTCTCGCGGGACCGCACGCGACGGCGCGGCACGCGCAACAACAAACATATATGATTTACACACGATTCACGGGGGGGGCGGGCTATGCACATCGACGGACTCCCGCGGCTTCAGGGGACGCGGTTCATTTCCTCCGGCGACACCGGGTTCGGCGTCACCGCGAGGCGAGGCCGAGCGTCTCCTCGAGCGACGCCGCGGGCAGCGGCGTGGGCTTGAACTCGGCGATGGCCTCCTTGAGGTCGTACACCAGGGCCGCGAGCTCGAGCTTCGTCAGCGGGGCGCGCGTCGCCTGCTTCTTGGCGACCGCGCGGACGCGGGACACGCCGAGGTCGTCGGTCTCGAGGACGCACTCCGCGAAGCTCGCGCCGTGCTGCGAGACCGTCTCGCCGAGCGACGCGAGGAGCGTTTGCGACCACATGGTCTGCACGAAGAGCACGGACTTGAGGCCGACGAGCTCGCACTCCTGGAGGTCGCCCGCGACGGACGTCCGAATCCGAAACCCTCGGCGGCCGACGAACGCCGGGCCCGCGACGACGACCTCGAGCTCCACGTCCTCGAAGTTTTGGTCGCAGAACAGCGGCTCCTCGTCGTCGGACGTGCCTAACGACTCGTCGTCGTCGAAGTTGACTTTTTTTTTTTTGAGCATTCTACTTTTTTTTTTTTGAGCATTCTAAGATTGAGCATTGACAATGCTGCATTGTCCTTGCTTCGCATCAGAAAACTCATCGGCAACTCTCTCACAAGCAGGGCGTTTTCTTCTTGGCGACGCAGGCGCCTTCAACGACGAGTCCCGGGTCGGCGACCGCACGTCGGCAGCGTCGTTCCACTCATCTCGAAACTAAGGACATAGCTAAGCCACAACGATGCCCACCGAGAAAAGACCCTTACGCGCGATCAGTCCGACTCGACGACGAGCCCCTTGACGAGCTTCTCCCACTTGCCCTGCCAGCCGATCTCCTCGCCCTTGATGGCGCCGTAGTGCTGGAGGACGTTGGCCATGTTGGACTTGTAGTAGTCGAGGTAGTCCGCGAAGGAGTGGTCCCGGGCCTTGACGAAGACGCGGTGCGCCGTCGTGACGGCGGCGGTCTGCGTGTGCGACATGGCCTCCGTGAGCGCGGCCCACGTGTCCTCGAGGGGCTTGTCGCCGTCGCCCGACGCCTGGGACCGGGGCGAGCCCGCGTCGGAGCCGCGCGGCGACGCCTTCTTGCCGCGCGGCGACTTGGACGCGTCGGACCGGGGGCTCGCCGCGGGCGCGTCGTCGGGCGGCGGCGCGGGCACGACGGCGGCCATGGCCGACACGTCGAGGCCCGGCCAGTCGCGCCGCGCGAACGCGCGGCCGCGGCCGTCGCCGAACTTGAGGCCCGTCTCGTCCAACACCTCGGGCTGGACGTCGTCGCTCAGCTGCGAGAGGCGGTGCGCCTTCTTGAGCCGCTTCAGCGACTTGCGCTTCTTCTCCAGGAACTCGTCGCCCGGGAGCCAGCCCAGGTCGTCGACCATGATCAGGTTGTCGAGGATGGCCATCGTGCGCCGGCAGCACGCGAAGAGGCGCCGCACGAAGACGCGCGCCATGGCCGACTGCTCGTCGACGACGCGCGTCTGCACGGCGTCGATGGCCGCGAGCACCTCGTCGCGCCGCGCGGACTCGTCCGCGCAGAGGCGCCGCAGGTCCTCGGCGGCGTCGGGCCGGCCGAGCTGGGGCCGCAGAGCGCCGCGGTGCGCGTCGCGCGCGTCGACCCAGAGCCGGAGCTTGCGCTGGAAGGCCGCCTCCGTGTCCTCGCGGCGCGCGACGGCCTCGCGCCTGGTCCGCGCCGCCGCGTCCGCGACGACGGCCGCGGGCGCGCCGAGCACGTCCGGGTCCGGGGGCACGGGCGCTTTCGCGACGAGGCGCTCGAGGCGCTGGACCTGGACCCGGAGCCGGCGCGCGGCCTTCTCGCGGTAGCCGCCCTCGCCCAACACCTTCTTCTCGCTCTCGGAGAGCCAGGCCTGGAGCGAGTCGGGGACGCCGGACGGGCCGAGCCGGTCCTCCTTGCCCTCGCGGACGTAGAGCTCGTGCGTCTCCTCGCGGCACCGCGCCTCGACGTCGCGGACGACGGCCGCGATCGTGCCCTCGCGCGCGTCGCGGCCTCCCAGGAGCTCCGCGTGCTCGGGCCCGTGCGGCGCCTCGCCCTCGTCGTCGCCCGCGCCGTGGTCCGGGAGCTCCGCGTCGATCGACTCCGGCTTCGGCAAAAAGTTGAGGTACGTCGCGCGGTGGTACGCGTGCTTGCGGATCGCGTCCAAAATATCCAAAATGACGCGGCTCAGGGGCGGCGCGGGCGGCGCGTCCGGGTCCGCGGCCTCCGGCGCGCCCTGGGACGCGTCGCGGACGTCGCGGCACGCGCGCTCGAGGGCCTCGAGGAGCGCGTCGAGGTGCGCGGCGTCGGCCTCGTCGCGCGTCTGCTCCGTCCTTAACTTCTCCTGCGCGTTGCGCCGCGGCGCGCCGTACTTCATGCCCAGGCCCTCGCGCAGCGAGAGCTCCTGGAGGCAGGCCTCGGCCTCGCGCTGGAAGCCAACGAGGCCCGTGAGCGCCTCGCGCTGGAGGTCCTGCAGCGCCGCGAGCTTCTCGGCGCGCGCCGCGACGCTCTGCTCGATGCCCGCCCGCAGGCTGTCGAGCTTCTCCGTGAGCTCCTCGGCCTCCTTCTCGCTGTAGTCGCCGCCGTCGGAGAAGAGCCGCGTCGCCTTGAGCATGACCTCGTTGAGCTGGACGAGCTTGTGGGGCTCCGTGACCGTGTAGTGCTCGAGCGCCTGGAGCTCCTTGGCGCACTCGACGCCGAAGGTCGACGCGAGCTTCTTGCACTTGGACTCGACGCCCTGGAGCCCCGCCAGCGACCCCATGGACCCCAGGCTCGCCTCCAACGCCGCCAAACTCGTCGAGAACGCCGCGACCTTGGCCTCGGCGTCCGCGAGCGCGGCGAGGCAGTCCGCGGTCTGGAGGCGGTCCCGCTGCTGGATGATGCGCATGTGCCGCTCCTTGCGCTGGCGGTGCATGATGAGCTCGCCCTCGCGGGGCTGGCGGAAGGACACCTCGGACCGGCCCTTCCGGGGCCAGTGCGTCCGCAGGCGCTCCTCGAGCTCCTCCGTGTACTCCTGCAACCGGTGCTGGGCCAACCCGTCGATCTTCCGCGCGCGCTCGACGGCGCGCGCCTCCATGTCGCCGACGACGGAATCCCTCAAATCCGCGATCATGGCCACGAGGCGCGCCGCGGGCAGCTCGACCTGGACGACGCACCGCGCGCCCTCGCGGTCCACGGGCGCCTCCGTCATCTCCGCGCGCTCGCGCGCGCGCCGCTCCGCCAGGGCCTTCTTCTCCGCGGCGCGCTCCGTCCTCCGGGCGTCGATGACCGGGGCCAGCGCCTCGTAGGCCTCGCGCTCGTCCGCGGGCAGGTCCTCGACCTGCTCGGGCGACAAAACGCGGAACGCGGCGTCGCGCGCGTCGAGGTAGGCCTCGCGCTTCTTCCCCTCGAGGAGCGCGAGCTCCTCCTCGGGCATGGGCGCGAAGCCCGGTGCCCAGAGGCCGCCGGCGTCGCCGTCGCCCGCGGCCTCGTCGCCCGCCGCGGGCTCCGCGACCGCCGCGGGCGCGTCGTCGGCCGCGTCCTTCTCCTTGCCCGCGGTGAGCAGCTCGTCGACGAGCTTCGGGAGGGGCAGCTTGACGTCGTAGGACCGGCCCTCGGACACGGCGTAGACGTCGCCCCGGCGGCCCTTGGCCTGGGCCTTGGCGGACGCGCGGCGCGCGACGGACGCGCGGTCGCTCCGCGCGGCGAGCCCGAGCATGGCGCAGAGCATGCCCTCGAAGCGGTCCTGCTCCGCGCGCGCGTGCGTCGGGTGCGTCAGCGACTTGGCCGTCGCCTCGCCGTGGTACGCGCGGTACTTGTCCTCGATCTGGTTCAGGAGGTCGAGCACGGACGCGAACGCGGCCTCGAGCTCGCCGTCGTCCGCGGCGTGGCGGAGGCGGTCGCTCGACGCCGAGACGCGCGCCTCGAGGTCCGCGTCCTTCTCGCGCAGCGCCTCCTTCAAGTCGAAGAGCTCGTCGAGCATGGACTCGTCCATGTCGTGCTCCTTCTGGTGGTTCTCCTCGATGGCCTTGGCGACCTTGACGTAGAAGTCGCAGACGCGGCAGGCCGTCTCGTAGACGTCGGACGCCTGGTGCTCGAGGTAGACGACGATGTGGTGGGCCAACGCCTTCTGCTCCTCGACGCGTAAAGCGATGATGGCCTCGCACTCCGCGGAGACGACCTCGTCGATCTTCTCGTTGCACGTCCGCTTCTTCCGGAGCGCGCCGAGCGTCTCCCGCAGGTCCTCGAGGAAGGACGGGTCGAGCTCGCAGGCGTGGACGTGCATGGCGACGCGCTTCTGGATGGACCGCACCTCGAGCATGTTCACCTCCGGGCCGTCGAGGCCGCCCGCGCCCGTGCCCGCGGAGCTCAGCCCGCCGCGGCTCGCGCCGCTCCGCGCCGTCGACGCGCCGCTCCGCGACGGCGACTTGCCGCTCTTGTTGCTGCCCTTGGAGCGGCCCGTGGCGCCGGACGCCTTCGAGCCGCGCGTGCCCGACCGGTAGTCGAGGTCCTTCGTGATCGTCCGCAGGTCCTCGGCGCCCTGGCGGAGCTGCTCCACGAGCAGCTCGTCGAGCCCGGCGACGGCCACCAGCTCCGTGAGCTGCTGCTCCAGGAGCGGCAGCAGCGGCACGACCTCCGCGCGCGCGGCCTTGCGGAGCCGCTCGAGCGTGTCTTGGATCGACTTCTGCTGCTGGCTCTTGCCCTGCTTCTCGAGCACGGCCTGGAGGCCGCTCCCGCAGAGCAGCACCTCGAGGCGCCGCTGGGCCTCGCCGAGCGCGCGCTCGTAGATGAGGTCCGGGTGCCGGAGCTCCGCGACGAGCTCCCGGAGCTCGAGCTTCAGCCCGCCCGCGGAGCGGAACAGCGCCTCCAGGTTCGCGTCGTGGGTCACGGCCTCGATGGCCCGCGCGTGGCTCTCGAGGTCCGGCTCGTCCTCCAGAGCGCCGTAGCGGTGGAGCTCCGCCCTCAGCGCCTCGCGCCGCGCCTCGGCCTCGACGCGCTTCGCCTCGCGCAGCGTCTCGAGCTCGGCCTCGTGGCGCGCGATGGCCTCGTCCTCGGCCTCGTAGATCTCCTTGAAGAGGGCCTTGGACGCCGTGACCTCGCCGGACTCGAGCGTCGGGCACTTCATGGCCTTGACGCCGTCCAGGATCGCGGACCGGCGCGCGTCGACGTCGACCTGGCGCGCCTTGATGCGCTCGAACAGGTCCCCGCGCTCCGGCGGGTTCGTGAAGGTCGCCCCGTCGAGCTCGGCCTGGAACTCGGCGACGGCGCGGTCGTGGCGCAGGCGCCGCCAGGCCTCCTGGCGCCGCCGCCACGACTCGATGGCGACGAGGCCGACGCCGACGTCCTTCCGCTCGAGCATGGCCAGGAGCTCCGCGTGGCTCCGCCGGTTCGCGATGATCACCGTGTTCAGCTCGAAGGCCTCGGCCTCGACCAAACGCTCGATCTCCCCCGGCGACTTGTACGCGATCTTCAGCAGCCGGTCGACGAGCGTCCGGAGCTCGCGGCCCGCGCGGTCCGCGCGGTCCCGCTCGAGCTGCTCCAGCGTCGCCCCGAAGGCGCGGATCGACGCGTGGCGCGCCTGGAGGAAGCCGTCGATGCCGTCCCAGGACTCGCCGAGGTACGCGGCCTCCTTGGTCACCAGCAGCTCGTCGCGGTTCATCTCCGCGAAGATGGCGCCGACGTCGCCGTCGGCCTTCTCGAGCTGGGCCTTGAGGCTGAAGGACGCCTGGAGCACCATGGCCTCGATCTCGTCGCTGATCAAATTCAGCTCCGCCGTGAACTTCTTCACGGACGCGTCGTGGGACTCGCGCTTCACCAGCGCCCGGTTCGCGATCTTCGGGAACTCCGTGCGCACGATCTTCGTCGGGTCCCGCTGGAAGGACAACGCCGCGACGTCCTCCAGCTCCTGCAGCTGCGCCGGCACGTCGACCATGGCCGACGGGCGCCGGCGACCCCCACCGGGCCCACCAACAGCTCGTCGATAGCGCGCTCGTTATCGGGTAGATTTTGTTGATGTTGTGGTTTGTGGGTAGATGCTGCACTTTCGCCTGCCCGCCTGCGCAGGTGCGGGCCGGGGCAGCCTCACGACCTGGGCCAGTCCTTCGGCCGGATCAAGCTTCGTGGGGAGAGGCGCATCCCAGCCGCATAAACCACCGCCATCTCTGGCCTCGCGACGTGTCCCAGCCGCAAAACATGTTCGGCCACCTGCGGGAGAAATTCCGCGAGGTCGCGAAGCATCCGAAGGGCATGCTCGCCGCGGGCAACATCGTGCGGGAGCCCGGCCCCGTCGACGAAAAGGTGGCCACGGCGCTGGCGACCTACGACGCCGCCGTCGTGTCGTCCGTCGCCGTGGACAAGGGCTGCCACGCGGCCTGGGCCGAGGTCGCCGCGGCGTCCGAGGCCTTCGTCGACGCCGCGGGGCTCCTCCGGCTCCTCGCGCTCACTGACGACCTCGCGCGGCCGGGCGCGGCGCCGACCGACGACCTCGGCGCGGCCGTATTGCGGCTCCGGCGGTGCGCGAGCGCCTGCGCCGGCGCCGTGCGGCGCCAGCCGCCGGAGCCCCTCGACGGCGTCGGCGCGACGTGCCGGACGTTCAACGCGTCGGAGCCCGCCGTGCGCAGGGCCGAGAAGGCCTACCGCGAGGCCTGCGCCGAGAAGCGCTACTACGACGGCCGCATCATGGAGCTCGACGGCGCGGCGCCGGCGGACAAGAAGCAGCGGCGCCGGGAGAAGCACCTCCGGGCCGTCGAGGGCCTCGACGCCGCGGAGCAGGCGCTCGCGGCGGCGCTCGGCGCCGCGCGCGCGCGCGCGGGCGCCGTCGTCGACGCCGCGGCGCCCCTCGACGCCGCCGTCGAACGCATCGCCGCGGCCCTGCGCGAGGCCCTGGCCGCCGCGGCCGCGGGCGGCGGCGACGACGACGACGGCGACGACGACGCGCGCGACGACGACGACGACGACGGAGGCCCGGGCCGCGCGTCGCTCGCGGAGCGCGTGAAGCGCACGACCAAGGGCCTGCGCCGCGAGCTCACGCGGCTGAAGGTCGCCGCGAAGCACCGGGACTTGGGCGCGCGCGGCGACGGCGTCCGCGTGACGCCGCGGCTGGAGACGTGCGTCGAGACCTGGGCCGCGCTCAAGGACGCGGCGCCGCGCGTCGTCGAGCGCGTCGGCGACGCCCAGCGGGCCCTGCGCCGCCTCGCCGACGCGCTGGGCGCGGCCGCCGGCGGCGTCGCGGCCGTCGCGGCGGCCCTCGCGAAGGCGGAGGACCACAAGGAGAACTTCGGGCTCGGGCCGGGCCCCGCGGCCGCGTGGCCGGCCAAGCCCGCGGCCCGCGCCCTCGGCCTCGCGGCGCGCGCGCGCGCCGCCGCGGACGCGCTCGACGGCGCGGGCCTCGGCGACCTCCTCTCGTCGGACCGGGCGGCGGCGCTCGACGCGGGCCTCGAGCAGCGCGTCTCGCTCGCCGTCGAGGTCGGCCACTACGACGGCAAGACCGCGTCCCTCGAGGGCGCCGCCGACGGCGACCGCGTCGCGCGCAACGCCGAGAAGCGCGAGACGGCCGCGCGCCTCCTCGAGGAGCACGACCACCGCCTCGACGAGGCGTTCTGCGCCTACGACGAGGTCCGCGTCGCCGTCAACGCGCGCGCGGCCGCGGCCCTCCTCGGGGCCCTCGACGCGCTCTGGGGCGGCGCAAGTGGCGGCGCGGCGCCGGTCTCCTAGTTAAAGTTTGCTTCCTTCTGGCGCGTTCAAATAAAAAAATTCGGATGGGGCTGCCCTAAGGAGCTGCAGCCCATGTCGCGCTGGCTCGTCGTCGCCGCGGCCGCCAACGCCCTCACGGTCGACGAGATCGGCGTGTGCTTCGTGCGGAACTACGTGCACTACGACGCGTCGCGCGGCGACCACGGCCTGCGGCTCGCCGAGTTCTACGACCTCCAGGCGGTGGCGATGACGCTGCGGCGGCTGCCCCTGAGCCCCCGGACGTGCCTCTTCACGGAGGCGCCGGCGCGCGCCGTCGCCGCGGCCATGGTCGCGCTCGGGACCCCGGAACTCGACGCGCCCAGGCTCTTCGACGTCGTGCTCGAACCGTCGAAGCCGCCGTTCGGCGGCCTCGGCGGCCGCTGGCCGGCCATCGCCGCGGCCCTCGGGCGCCTCGGCGCCATCAACGCGTCCCACGGCATCGACAAGGGCACGCGGCTGCTGAGCCGCCTGTCGCGGCTCCACGACTACGCGCGCGCGCCGTTCGAGGTCACGCTCTTCGCGGACGACGACGCCGCGTTCTGCCCGTCGACGCAGTTCCTGGGCCGCGTCGCGGCGCTGAGCGGTGGCGCCGACGCGCCGGACGTGCGCATCGCCGAGTACGACCTGGCCGCGAGCGACGCGGGCACGGCCGCGCGGCACGCGGGCCGGCTCCGGCGGCTCGCGGCGTGCGCCGCCGTGCCGAATTCAAACCTTCAACTCGACTTCAATGTGAGCGTACGCGACAGTTTCGACGCAACCTCTTTGGCTGTGCTTCGAGAACTCGACGAGAGCAATCGATTCGTCCAAACATCAGCCGAATCGACTTCGATTTGACCGAGCTAGAGAATTCTCAAGTTTGGTCAGGACCACCCAAACCAGTGGTTGAATTCGGCACAGGTGCGCCGCGGCGCGGGGGACGCCCGGCGACGGGCTCGGCGACGCGGCCTGGTGCTGGGACCACGTCCCCGCGGGGGCGACGGCCTGCCCGACCTTCGCCTTCGCCTCGGACGCGGGGCTCCAGGCCGGCGTCGTCGTCGCGCGGAACACGTCCGGCGCGCGGCGCTTCTTCGGGGACTGGGTCGACGCCTACGTCGACATGTGGCTGCCGCACCTCGGGAAGCGCGACGGTGACCTGCGGGCCGTCGCCCGCGTCGGCTCGGACCAGGAGCCCCTCTGGGCCATCGTCAAGCGGCGCTGCCTCGAGGGCGGCGACCGGAACTGGACGCTCGCGGCGCTCCCGCCGGAGTTCAACGCGCGCTTCCTGCGGCCGGGCCGCGCGGCGGCGCTCGACGACGACGTCCTCATCGTCCACGACAACGCCGTGGGCCACTACGGCGGCCGCGGCCGCCACTTCGACCTCCGGCGCTGGGACGTCGCCGCGCTCCTCGGCCGCGTGGCCGCGGTCTGCGCCGCGGCCAACGGCCGCCGCGACCTGCGCATCGTGGCCAATTTTTCCGGTTGGGCCTTCGGGGAGCCCGTCGCGGCGACCGTGGCCAGGGTCCGCGCGCCGAAGCGGCCGAAACGCGCGTGGCCCTGGCCCCTGTCGCTTCTCTTCTAAAAAAGAGCTCACACGGCGAGGAGCGCGGCCATGGGCCCGCGGCCGCGGTAGAACTGGGCGAGGTCCGCCGGCCGCGCCTCCGCGGGCGCCTTGGCGGCCTCGCGGGCGCTGATGAGCTCCGACAGGTGGCGCCGCGCGCCGCCGACGACGGCCTCCGCGGCGACGACGCGCGCCGCGCCGCTCGCGTAGGTCGCGACCCGCGGCGGCGCTTTGCGCAGGAAGGACTTGTCCACGGAGCGGAAGACGATGGAGACGCGGAGCCCGTCCCCCGGTGCGCGGGGCACGCAGTGGCAGCAGCGCGCGTTCGTCTCCGGGCCGAGGACGACGAGGTCGCCGTGGCGCGGCCGCCAGGTCCGGAGGGGCGCCTCGACGCGCGCCCGGCCCGCGGCGTCGGCGCCGCCGAGCTGGAACTCGCGCGTCGCGCCGAGGCTCAGCACGTAGATCGCGCTGCCGTCGACGAGGCTCGACACCGTGTCCTGGTGCGCGGGGATGCCGACGGCGCCGCCGCGGTAGTAGTTGACGGCCAGCGAGTTCGCCAGCGCGGGCGTGCCCGCGGCGGCCTCGCGCGCGAAGCTCGCGCGCTCGGCGAGCGCGCGGACGGCGGCGCGGGCCGCGTCGAGCGCCGGCGGCGCGGGCTCGACGCGCGCCCAGGCCTCGTAGTCCGCGCCCCAGGCGTCGAGCGCGAGGGCGCCGTCGGCGCGCGGGACGCCGTAGGCGTCCGTGCGCACCTCGTAGGCGACGCGCGACGACGCGCGCTTCGGCGCGCGCGCCCCGGGGACCCGCCGGAGCGCGTCCAGGAGCTCGTCCGCCGCGCCGGGCGCGAGGAAGCCGCGCACGAGGCGCGAGTCGAGGAAGTGGGCCGACGTCTCGCCGCGGTGCCAGGTCTCCCCGGTGATGTCGTCGTGGGACGGCGACGTCTCGCCGCGGTGCCAGGTCTCCCCGGTGATGTCGTCGTGGGACGGCGACGTCTCGCCGCGGTGCCAGGTCTCCCCGGTGATGTCGTCGTGGGCCGGCGCCTCCCGGCCGTCGACGCCCGCCGCCTTCGCGGCGCCGGAGCGCTCCGGCCGCGCGTCGCCCTGCCACGCGGGCGTCGCCGCGGCGGCGAGGTTTCGCACGTCGTAGAAGCTGCACCGCCCCGTCGCGTCCTCGAAGCTTTCGCGGCCCGCGGCCTTGTGGTCGAAGCGCGCGACGTCGTCGAAGCTCCCGCGGCCGTGGCTCGAGCCGAAGGTCGCAAAGCTCTCGCGGGCGCGCGGGACCTCCTCCCAGGCCGGCGGCGGACGATCCTCGCGGCGCACCTCGGCCATGAGCTTCGCCGCGGCATCGCGGATGTCCGGGGGCGAGTCCTCGGACTCGGCCACGAACGCCTGTCGCTCGACGGAGTTGCCAGAACCCATCGGGGCAGCCTCTGATGATTGATCAGAAGGGGCGAGGTTCAATGACGCTGCACTGCAAGCATCCAATGCGCGGACAATGTTTTTGCGGAATACATGTTGATTCTTTCGGCGCGGCGCTCTCGTCCCGTGGCAACTGTGCGGGCAGTGGCAGCACGCGTTGGTCGTCTGTCAGGGGACGAGGGCTTGCCGCGGTCAATAATCGAGCAGCTCGTCGAAGCTCGATAGACGAGGGCTGCCCCGTAGGACGCGAAGGGCTGGGCCGCCGGCGCCGGGAGCCGCCGGCACTTGAGCAGCAGGACCTGGGCCCGCGACAGGACCAGGGGCGCCGACACGCCGCGCGCGCCGTCGGCCCGCGTGACGCGATCCATGTGGGGCGCCTACGCCTTCGGGCAGCCCCACAACAATAGCTGCGCGCGGCTCGCGCACACGCGCGTGCACGGCGGCGCCCTGTACGCGTGGGCGCGCCTGGGCGCGGCGCACGACACGCAGAAAATCAACGTGCCCCACCGCTTGACGCACGAAACGGTCGTCCGGACGCGGGCCGCGCCGAGGCGCGCTCGGGCGGCGTCGGGCGAGGCGGCGCCGAGCCTGAGCCTCGTCGTCGCCACGACGCCGTCGGGCGGCATCGGGCAGGACGGCACGCTGCCCTGGGTCGCGCAGGGCGTCCACCTGCCCGGCGACATGAGCTATTTCAAGCGCGCCACGACGGAGACGCGGGACCCGTCGAAGCGGAACGCCGTCGTCATGGGCCGCCGGACCTGGGAGGGCATCCCGGAGCGGTTCCGGCCGCTCGCCGGCCGCGTGAACATCGTCCTGACCAGCGACGAGGCCTACGCGTTGCCGGCCGGGGTGTTGTCCGCGACGTCGCTAGACGAGGGCCTCGCGCTCGCCGAGGACGCGGGCGTCGAGACTGCGGTGATCATCGGCGGCGCGCGGCTCTTCGAGGAGACCGTCGTGCATCCGCGGACCCGCGTCGTCCACCTCACCATCGTGGGCCGCGACTACCCCGCCGACGCGGTCCTCTACGCCTGCTTCACGGACGCGCTCGCGCGCGAGTACCGACTCGAGTCGGAGGACGCGCGAGCGGACAACGACGTCGCGTACCGCATCTGCGTCTACGTCCGTAACACTAGTGCGTAAACCTCGATAGTCGAACGTTGAAGTATAGTTGAACTTTCGAGTGTTCACGGGCAGCATGGTCGCATCGAGAACGCTGACCGGGAAGATTTACCCCGTGGGCATCGTGAGCATGGCATGGGCACATCCGCCGACTGCTGCATGACCCGGAAGATTTGACCCGTCGGCGCGGACGCGGCGCATGGCCAGGCTGACGCGCGTGGCCGCGCTCGCGCTGGCCGCCTACCTTCTGGGCTGGCTGCTCATTCCCAAGCCGTTCCGCTTCGAGGACGCGCGCCACCACGGACGGCGCTCCCCGCCGAAGACGATGGTCCAGCTGCCGGTCGCCCTGTCGGCGCAGCAGACCTTCGGCCCGCCGGAGGCGCGGCGCATCCCGCTCGTCATCCGCGGAATCGCGCCTGGTGCATCGCGATGTCGCGGCGGCGTCTCGCTGCTGGCGCGACGCCGCGGAGCGCGGCTTCTTCGACTACCGCTTCCACGACGCCGCCGCGCAGCGCGCCTTCGTGCGAGCCCGGGGCGGCGAGAAACTACTCGCCGCCTTCGAGGCCGCGACCACGTTCGCGCGGCGGACGCGGCTCTGGCGCGCGCTGCTGCTCTACGAGGAGGGCGGCCTGTACGCGTCCATGGACGCGCGGCTCGACGCGCCGGCGACCCTCTGGCTCCTCGTCGTCACGCGCCAGAACGACGCGGCGATCCTCGGCTGCGCGCGCTCGGGCCGGCCCTGGCGGGGGCTGTCGCGCTGCCGCTTCGACGACGGCGTCCTGGCCTTCGCGCCGGGCCACCCCATTCTCGCGCTCTACCTCGGCGCCGTCGCGGCGCCGAATGCGCGGGGCGCCGGCGCGCGCGCGCGCTCCGACGCCGCCGCGCGCGCCGGCTTCCGGCCGGGCTGCGACGGGACGCTCGCGGCCTCCGGCGACGGCGACTGGAACGCGCGCTTCCTCGCGGGCGCCCTCGGCGGCGGCGGCGGTGCGGCGCCCGCGGACGACGACGCCGATCGACGACGCCGCGCGCGCGCCGCCGGGGCTTCGTCGCCGTCCCTGCACGGGCTCACGACGAGCGTCGTCGTGCAAAAAGCAGAGCACTCGGCGGCCCGAGGCGTCGCTCCGGGGCCGGCGCTTTGCCGTCGTCCCGCGGCCCGCGGCGCCGGAGGACGCACCGGGGCTTCGTGGCGGCCCGGTCGGTGATCGCGACGGCGCGGGAGAAGCGGGAACGTCGACTTGTGGTGCGCACGGCCCCGCTCCCGCGAAACAGCGCGCCGCTCGGCCCGATCGCGACGGATTCGCGATCGCGACGGATTCGCGTAATTTTTGGACGGATCGACGGCGCTCGGCCCCGCCGTCGCGGCGGGCGTGCAGCGGCGCCGCGCGGCGTCGGCACGAAGTGGGCAAGCTCGCCGATCGACGACGCCGCGCGCGCGCCGCCGCGCCGGTTCCCGCCCATCAGCCCCGCGGAGCACCGGACCTCCTGGGCCAATCTGACCTGCCTCTGGCGCGCGCACTAGCGCGATCGAACTTAGACGGGCGCCCTACTCGTCGTCCTCGTCGGAGTCGACCTGGACGACGCGGCGCTTCTTGGACTTCTGGACGACGATCTCCTCGTCGGAGTCGTCGAAGTCGACGGGCGCGCGCGGCGCCGGCGGCGGCGACGCGGGCGCCTCCTTCTTGGCGGGCGCGCGCGCGGCCCAGCGGTCGTCGTCGTCGTCGTCGTCGTCGTCGTCGTCGGCCCCCGCGCCGAACTCGTCGTCGTCGTCGTCGTCGTCGTCGTCGTCGTCGTCGTCGCCGAAGATGGCCTTGCGGGAGACCTCCTGCTTCGTGCCCGCCTTGAGCGCGCCGATGTCGCCGGCGTCGTCGTACTCGAGGCCCTCCTCGAGGTAGTCGCGCGTCATGGCCGCGCGCGCGCCGCCGCCGCCGCCGCGCTTGGACCGCGCGTCCTCGCGCGCCCTGCGCCGCGACTCGCGGCGGATCGCGTCCTCGCGCTGCTTCGCGCGCTCCTGCTGCATCTGCTCCGGGTCCTCGACGACGTAGATCTCCTTGATGCGCGCGGGCTTGGCGACGGCTTTTTTGGTGCGCAGCGTAAAGGTCTTGTGCGCGTCGGACGACAGCGACGGCGGCCGGAGCCGCATCTCGTTCAACAGCGTCGCGTGCGACACGAGGCACATGGGGCCCTCCTTGGGGTTCACCTGGAGGCAGAGGCGCTCGCTCTTGAGCGCGCGCGACACGACGTCGAAGGTCTCGCCGCCGACGACGATCTGCGTGGACCCGTCGCTCCAGCGCACGAGGCGCGCGTTCGACTCGCGCTCGGGCCGGCCGTCGGCGTCGCGGAGGACCTCGTCCGTGAGCGCGTCCTTCTTCCAGCGCCAGCGGAGCACGGTCTGGCCCTCGCGGTCCTCGTCGTCGGGCGCGTCCTCGTCGTAGGGCTTGTGCTCGAAGGCGAGGAACTTGGGCACGCGGACGACGTTCGCCTCGGCGGCCGCCGGCGGCCGCGCGCAGTTCGGGAACGCGAGCACCGCGGGCTCCGTGCCCTTGGGCAGCGCGCGCTTCTTCGGCGGACCCGCGGGCTCCTCGCGGAAGTGCGTCTCCTCGAACTCGAGCTCCTCGTCCTTGCCCAGGGCCTCGTCGTCGCTGTCGTCGCCGAAGAGGTCCTCCATGCGGTGCTTGTTCCGGTCGCCGGCCGGGGCCGCCGCCGCCGCCGGCGCGGCGTCGTCGTCGTCGTCGCTCGCGCCGAAGAGGTCCGTCATGCTCGTGTCCTTGGGTGTTGTGGGTTTGGGCGCCGCCGGCGGCGCGGGCGCCTCGTCGTCGGACCCGAAGAGCTCCGTCATGCTCGTGTCCTTGGGCGCCGCGGGCGTCGGCGCCGCCGCCGGCGCCGCCGGCGCCTCGTCGTCGGACGACTCGCCGAAGAGGTCGTTCATGGTCGCGTCGGCCATGGTCGTTTGCGCACTGCGACGCCGCGGGTGGTGGCGGCGAGTGCAACGCGAGTGGTGGCGGCGAGGCGCGCACGACGCGAGTGGCGGCCGGCGAGTACGGAGCTCGGCCTTGAGCTGCGACGACGCCGTCGCTGTCGCGCGAGCACCGAGCACCACTCGCACTGCGCGGCGTGCTCCGCGGGCGCCGCGTGCAACACAGACATCGTCCACATTCCTCGGCGGCGCCGGCGCGCGACGGCGGGCGCCGCGCCGCCGTGAACGGCCGGCGTAAAACCGGAAACGATGAGCGAGGACGCGCGTCGCGAGGCGAAGGCGCGCGTGGCGGCGTGGGCGCAGGCGGTCTGCGCCGGCGCGGCGCCGCAGCTGCGGGAGGCGTCGCCGCCCGTGGCGCTGAGCCCGGAGGCGGCCGCGGCCGTCGGGTCGGCCGTGGAGCGGCGGTTGCGGCACCTGCTCGGCGAGGCGACGAAGCGGACCGTGTTCCGGCGCGGCGAGCGGCTCACGGGCGACGACGTCAACGGGGCGCTCGAGGCTTTGGGCGACGAGCGCTGCCTGGGCCACCCGCGGCGCGAGCTCGTCGCGACGACGGGCGGCGGCGCGAGCCTGCCGCCGCGGGAATTAAGGTTGCGGGACGTCGAGGCCGCGGCGGCCGCGCGGTCGTTGTCCAACGCCCTCGTGGAGCCGTCCCTGGGCCTGCGCTGGCTGAGCGTCGACGGGCGGGACGCGCGGGAACGCGACGGCGCCGCCGCCGAGGGCCCGCCGCCGTGGGCGCGGCTCGCGCCGGGCGCGCCCGCGCCGGGCGGCGCGCTCGGGCGGGAGCAGGAGCTCTACCTGCGCAAGGTCGTCGACGCCGTGCGGGGGCGTCTGGACGTGCAGGAGCGGCGCGAGGTCTTCCGGTCGCTCGCGCGCGACGCGGGTTTGGCATCCGTCGTCCCTTACCTCGCGGCGTTCCTCGCGGAGGAGGCGAACCGCGCGAAGAAGCGGCCCGTGGGCCACCTGCGAAGGGCCGTCGACGCCATCGGCTGCGTCGCGCGGAACCGGCGGTCGCGCGTCGAGCTCCACCTCCACCGCCTCGTGCCGGTCGCCTTGACGTGCGTCGTCGCGAAGAAGCTCGGCCTCGCCGACGGCGACCCGGGCGACGGCGACCACTGGGACTTACGGGTCGCCGCGGCGCGCACGGCGGCGGCGGTCTGCGCCGAGTTCGGGGACGCGTACGCGACGCTGCGGCCGCGCGTGTCGAAGACGTACGCGGACGCGCTCGCGGACGGCGCCAAGCCCCTGGCGACGCACTTCGGGGCGTTGGTGGGGTTGCGGGCGCTGGGGCCGTTGACCGTGGCGTCCCTCGTGATCCCGCGCGCGGCGGAGCTCGCCGCGCGCTTCGACGCGGCGGCGTCCGCGGCGCCGCCGGACGGCGAGGACGCGGCGTCGCGCGCGCGGCGCCTCGCGGCGGCGGCCGACGCGCGCCACTGCCTCGCGGCGCTGGCCGACGCCGCGGCGGCCCACGGCCGCGCGGACCCGCGCCGCGCGCCGAGTGCGGCCTTGGACGCGCGGCCGACGCTCGGCGCCGCGGCGCCGCGGCGCCTCACGGCGCCCAAGCCGGCGGGCGCCAAGCGGCCCGCGGCGAAGCGCAAGCGCGGCGCCGACGGCGCCGCGGCCAACGTCGACGCGCCGCCCGCGCCGCAGAAGACCGCGCCCGCGTCGCCGCCGCGGCCGCACCTCGACCTCCTCGACGCGCTCGGCGAGGCCCTCGTCCCGCACGCCGCCGCCTACCCGGCGACCGCCTTCATCTGACCCGCGTAGGAGCCGGCGCCGGGTAAAGGCCGAAGTTGGGCGAGCGGGGGTTCGGGCGTCGCGTTTGCAATTGCGCGACTTCAAAAGTTGCCACAGTGCATCTCAAGCCCGACGCCTCGAGCGCGCCCCTGCTCGTCGCGCTCGTCGTCTCGCGCTCGTCGACGCGCCGCGCGACCCGTCGCCGCGCGCCGCCGCCGATGGCGGGCATGGACCAGAACCGCATGATCCGGAGCAAGGAGCTGCACGTCATGCTGCGCGAGGTCGTCGCCGACGGCGGCGGCGGCGCCATGCTCATCTCGTGCAAGGGCGCCATCCTCGCGTCGGCGGGCTTCGACCAGGCCGAGCCCAAGATCGTGAGCGCCATCGCCGCGCACGTCTGGGCGCACGTCGCGCTCGTGCCGACGAAATACCCGCAAGTCGGCGACCTCCGGACGATGGCGCGGCGCCCGCGCCGCCGCCCGCCGCCGCCGCGCCCGAACACGCCCGCGCCCCGCCGCAGCTCTTCGACGTCGAGGGCGGCACGCTCGTCCTCGGCGAGCTCCTCGAGGCGTCGCACTTCGCGCGCGGCCCGCGCCCGCGGCCGCGACCGCCGCGCCGCCGCCGCGCGACCGCGCCGCGCCGCGCAGGTCTGCCTCTACTCGAAAAAGGAGTACGGGGAGCCCCTCAGCGACCTCTTCGGTGCGTCCGCGCCGACCGACCGACCGCGCGCCGACGCCGCGCGCCCCTCCGCAGCGCGCCTCGCGGCGCTCCAGCAGAAGCTCGCGGAGATGTGCGGCGACGCCCTCTCCGGGCGGCCCGACGACAGCCCCGAGGCGGGCGCCGCGGCGCTCGACGCCGACGCCGCCACGCGGTAGCTCGCGTAGCCTAGGCGCGGCACGCAGCTCGAGGGGACGTGCGGCCCCGGCACGCAGCTCGAGGGGACGTGCGGCCCGCGCGCCGGCCGGCGTGCGCCCGGTGGGTACGCGCGCTGGGCGCGACTCCGAGGCGCTGGCGGAGGAGACACCGCGCGGCGGCGCCGCGGCCGCGGAAGCGGCGGCGGCGCGGCGCGAGCGCCGGCGCGGCGTCTCCCCGTCGGCGCCCCGTGCCCCCCGGCGGAAGCGGGCGCGCGGCGTGTTCGGGGAAAGAATTATCGGTACAGTGGTGGTGGCGCGCCTTCGCGCCCCGGCTCGTCGGCGGCTTCGGCGTTTCGGCACCGGGCCGAGAGCGTCCCGCGCCGCGTCTCGCGGCGTCGGCGAGGGGGTCGCCGGGGGGGACCGGGGGGCCGCGGGCGACGCCCGCGGCCCGTGCGTGCCCCCCGCCCCTCGGAGCGGGCGCTCTCCTTCGGTCTGGGTGCGCCGAGGAGGTCGGGGCTTGTCGGCGCGCCGGCCGCCCGCCTAGCCGGACTTGAAAAGAAGGATGGCGACCTGGCCGAGGTAGAAATAGATGAAGTGTTTCGTCTCGTGCGTCACGTAGGAGCCGAAGTTCCGCCCGACGATACAGTGCCACGTCGGGTTGTACTTCTTGTCGAACTCCTTCTTGATGTACGCCGCGATGTCCTTCTCGATGTTGTACTTCTCCAGGGCCTGGGACGCGCAGTCGACGGCGTCCTGCTGCATGTCCTCGGACATGTCCGCGTTCTTGATGACGGCCTTGCGCTCCATTGTGGCGGGGACGCTGGACAAATAACAGTCGGCCTCTCAAACTCGCTGTGTGGCAGCGCTGCTGGGCCGCTTAGCCGATCCGCTTGCGGCAGATTTGCGGATTTGTGAAGTTAATCGTGCAGCCGAACATGAAGCCACGGTGTCCTACGACGCCTCCTACGTTAGTCCTACGCGCGGCAGGCAGGCTTAGGGGTGGTTGGGCCAACGTGGCAGCGAGCTCCGGCGCTATCACGGCCTGCCTCATTCGCGGTAAGCGCAGCGTCCACGTAGCTCGACGGCCGCGATACTAGTAATGGACGCGACGTCCATGGCGCCCTCGCCGACGTCGTCGATCGCCCCGATGAACAGGTTGCTATCGAGACTCCCCGTGTACCAGGGGCCCAGCTACATCTGCTTGAACTCGAGCGTCGGCGATTGCGCCGAGGCGGATGCGGTTGCTGTGCAAGTGGCCCGGGACGTAGTGAGCGCCACGCTGCGTGGAGAAGCGCGCGCGCTCTGCCCCGGCGCGAGTGCGCGGAAGCTGCCGCTCCTGGGCCTGTTGCTCGCGGTCGCGTACACGACGAGCCTCGGCCTGGACGTCTCGATGCACGACCTCGTCGCCCTCACGCCGAGCCGCGCCTCAGGTACAGCGCGAGGGCGCCGCGGCCGATATCGGCGGGCGAGTAGTCGCGCGAGAGCCCGAGCAGCTCCATCCTCCCTTCAATGCGTCATGATTTCAGGGAACTTTGGCAGGGGTAAGACTTGTCCGACGCACGGTCCAAAGCACCTTCGAGGCTCCTTCGCGGAAACATGCCTTCGCCAACATTGGCTTCTGCCGCAGCCAGCTCAGCATGGCCATGACCGCGCGCCCACTAATGGCTGCGCGTGCTCTCTGTATTCTCGGCGTTGCTGCCGCCTTGCGGGCGCCGCGACTGCAGCAACGCACGACCGCGTTGCGCACGGCGACGATCTCGGCGCCGGACACGGGCATCTACAGCGTCGGGTGCGAGGACACGTCCGCGAGCCTGACTCGGCTGGCGGCGCGGTCCGACTCCTGGGCCGCGACGACGATGGCGGAGCGCGTCACGGTCGCCGAGGCGATCCTCGACGCGCTGAGGGAGGAGGACTGGGGCGGCGCGTGGCTCGAGGCCCAGGTGGACCTCGAGGGCATCGTCGGCGCCGACGCGCGGCGCACGTCGGCGTCGCAGACGCGCTTCGTCTTCGGGTCTACGGTCAAGGACATGGTCGCGTCGTTCGTCGAGGCGCACGGCGGCGACGGTCAGTCGGAGCGCCGCACGGCGCTCCTCAAGGGCGAGGCCGTCGCCGTCGGCGCGGCCGTCCCCGGCGCGACGATGGAGGTCCGAAGGGGGGAGAAGCCGGCCCAAACCGGCGCCGCACCGGGCACGGTGACGCTCGTGCTCGGCGCGGGGAACCAGTCCTTCCTCACGCTGCTCGACGCGCTCCAGCGCGCTTTGGTCGACGGCGAGACCGTGCTCGTGAAGCACCACCCGCTGCGCCCGTGGCTCGCGGACCCGTTCGCGAAGATCCTCGGCCCGCTCGTGGAGCTCGACGTCGTCGCGCAGACGTTGGACGCCGGCGTCGTCGAGGCGTCGGCGCTCGTCGCCGACCCGCGCGTCGGCCACGTCCACATCACGGGCTCCGAGGCGACGCGCGACGCGGTCCGAAAGACGCTCGACGCCGCGGGCAAGGCCGCCGTCGCCATCTCCGCGGAGCTCGGCTGCGCGACGCCCTGGCTCGTGCCCCCGGGCGAGTGGACCGCCAAGGATCTGGCGAACGCCGCGTCCGCGCTCGTCGCGGGCAAGAAGGCGAACGGCGGCTCGAACTGCCTGAGCCCGCAGGTCGTGCTTTTGGCCGACGGCTGGCCGCAGAAGGACGCGTTCCTCGACGAGGTCGCGGCGCAGATCGCGGCGCAGCCGACGTGGAAGGCCTACTACCCCGGCGCCGCGGGCCGCCGCGACGACGTGTTGCAAGCCTACGGCCGGGCGCGCCTCGGCGACGGGAACGACGACGTCGCTTTGCTGGACGTCGGCGTCGCGGGCGCCCCGGGCTTCGACGGGTCGGCGTTATCGAAAGAAGTCTTCGGCCCGCTGCTGGCCGTCTGCGCCCTGCCGGGCGGCGCCGCGGCGGGCCCGTGGCTCCGCGACCAGGCCGTGCCCTTCGCGAACTCGGACGCCGTCCTCGGCTCGCTGAGCTGCACGCTGCTCGCGCCGGCGAGCCTCGAGCCCGCCTTCGTCGACGCGGCCGTCGACGGCCTCAACTACGGCGCCGTCGCCGTCAACTGCTGGTCCGTCTTCTGCTACACGGCCATGTGCAACGGCGGCACCTGGGGCGCGCACCCGACGGACGTCGGCGAGCGGTCCGGCGCGGGCGCGATCGGCAACGTCTTCGGCGTGCCCGACGCGGCGAAGACCGTGGTCCGCGCGGGCACCCTGGAGAAGCCCGGCGTCGACCTCGCGAAACCGCCGCCGGCGCTCGTCTTCGACGCGCTCCACGCGGCGCTGCTGAAGCACGAGGGGTCGAGCGCGCTCAAGGCGGCCCTGAACCTGCTCCTCCGCCGCGGCCTCGGGAAGGTGAACGTGATCCCCGGCCTGAAGGGCCCCAAGTTCGGCGCCGCGCTCCCCTGAACTGTAACATTAGGCCGGCTTCTCCTTGGACGCGAGCCAGAGGTACGCGAGCATGGACGCGGGGATGACGCCGTCGTACCAGACGTGGCCGCCCAAGCTCTTGTAGAACGCGTCGCACGCCAAACCCTCGAACCAGGACAAGACGCCCACGGGCGCGGCGACGAGCACGGCGAAGAGGTCGTAGCAGCGGTCCTTGTCGTCGCGCGCGAGGTCGTAGGCCGCGGCGACCCAGAGCAGGGACGTCTGGACGTACGTGAACGAGAACACGGGCGGCACGCAGAAGCCGAGGACGACCGAGTGCAGCGCGGCGTGCGCCGCGGCGTGCGCCTCGGGCACGCGCGGCGCCGACCGGAGCAACGCGAAGTAGAAGATCCAGAGCGGCGGCAGCGTCGCCGCGCGCGCCGCGACGGAGGCCTCCGCGCCGCCGCGGCCGCCCGTGACGCCGAGCGCGAGGCCCAGGTGCGCCGCGCCGTGGGCGAAGATCGCGGGCCCGGCCTTGGCGACGGGCTCGACGAAGCGCGTCCCGGCGAAGCGCCGCGCCAGGAGGCACAGCGCGGCGGCGCCGAGCGTGTCGACGTAGAAGCAAAGAGCGTGCGAGCTCCTCCATGTGTTCGGCGCCGTGACGCAGAAGCCGTCGCGGACGAAGGAGGTGGCGAACAAATCTCTCCGCACGAGCACTGCGGCGAAGAAGGCTGCGCTGTTGACGAGCACGAATGCATTGGCGTAGTCGCCGGGTCGCATTGCTGCAAGTGGTGGTGATACTGGTCTTTGCAGAAACGTTGTCCGCAACAAAAAACGAAGTTAACTTATCCAGCGTCTCATCCAGTGAGTGGTTGCGAAGCAGCGAGTGATGCAGCGACAATTTTGGCCATTTGCAGCAGGTGCACCGCGCGCAGCAGAGGGAGCAGCGAGTCGCGCAGCATGTCGCGCAGCGTGTGGGAAGACCGATCTTAGCCCATGCGAGCCCCGAGACAGCGCGGAGTGGTTTTTCGACACCCCTGACCCCGACTTCCCATAGCGAAGTACTCTCCGTTGTGCCCATCGTGGGCCAGATCATGCCGAACGGGCTGCCCGATAATCGACGCGTCCATCGACTTGCTGCAATATTTATCGACTTGCTGCGGGGATTCCGTCTTCAGCTTCACTTGTTGCGGACAACGTTTCTGCAAAGACCAGTAATGGCTCAAGTCGAGGCCATCACAAAGTGCGAGTTGATGTCAACACCATTCGCAGAACTCGCCCCTTATGTGACCTTGCACAGTTGTTGAACAAAAGCTCTCGTGAGGAAAGCATTAAAAAGCGAAGAGCCCCGTGTCGAGGCCGATGTGGGTCGCCGCGAGGGCGGCGTCGAGCTGGAGGAGGCGGCTCTTCGGGTCCGAGCAGACGAGCACCGCGCCGTCGGCGGCCGCGACGAGGAGGTGGCGGTCGTCCGGCGAGAAGGCCAGCCCCAGACTCGGCCCGTGGTCGCCGACGTCGAGGACGTGGACGAGGGCGAGGTCGTGGGCCCGGCGCACGTCGACGCCGCCCGCCGCGCGCGCGCACGCGAGGACCGAGGCCGCGTTGACCGCGAACGCCGCGTAGGGCCCGTCGACCTGGGCAGCACAAGAGTGACTCAACGTCTCTTCAACGTGAGTGTTCCGCGCGCGCGCGTTACAAAAAAAAACATCCACGCTTCGAGACCGTTCCGAGAGATGATCGCTCGTCCAAAAATCAGCCGAAACGAGTGGAAAACGGCCGAGATCGGAGCCTTTGAAGTTGGGAATTTCGCTCTCTTTTCCTGCCCTGCCGTCGACGGCGACGCGCGCGCGCCGCCGGCCGTTGAGGCCCACGAGCGCGAGCGCGGTCTCCGCGGCGGCGGCGACGGCGACCTCGACGTCCAGCAGCGCCAGACAGACCAGCGCCCCCGCGCCGTCGCCCGCGGCCGCCGGCAAGCGCCGGAGGCACGCGCCGGACCGCGCGGCGTGGACGTAGACGTCGCCGCACTCGTCGCCGCTCACGGCGACGTCGAGCGTCGCCGAGTAGGCGACGGCGGCGACGGCCCTCGCGTGGCCGAAGAGCGCGTGGGAGCAGCGGAGCGCCGGCGGCGCCGGCGCGCCGGCGTCGTCGCCGTCGCGCCGCGCGAGCCGCGGGTCGAGGTCCGCGCGTCGCCGCGCGGCCGCGCGGTCCGGCGCGGCGGGCGCGGCGGCCCGCGCGCACTCGTCGCCGTCGCGCGGCGGCGGCGCGTCGTCCTCGCCGTCGCCCGCCGCCGCGAGGCCCCGGTAGAGCGCCTCGCGCTCCGCGACCCAGACGCAGACGGAGCCGTCGTCGCCGCCCGTGACGAAGACGCGCGCGTCCGGTGCCCGCGGGTCCGCGGCGACGACCGTGGCCCGCCCGAAGGCGTGGCCGCCCCGCGCGGCCCCCAGCAGCTCGCCGCCGTCGCCGTGGAGCCGCACGCGGCCGTCCGCGTAGCCCGCGGTCGCCGCGGCGCCGTCGCCGAGCAGCGCGAGCGCGCCCGCGCGCGCCGGCGCGCGCGGCGCGAGCGCGAGGCGCGCGCGCGTCGCGCCCTTGGCGGAGAAGGGCAGGCCCCGGCCGTCCGGGAGCTCGCTCCAGCGCCAGGCCTCGACCGTGCGGTCCTCGAAGGCCGCGACGAGCCGCGGCGCCGCGGCCGACGCGTCGGCGCCGCCGCCGTCGCCGTCGCCCGCGGCCGCGGACGCGGGCAGGAGCCGCGCGGCGAGCGCCGCGCCGCGCCGCCGGCCCGACCGCGGCGCGTCGCCGTTGCCCTTCTTGGGCCGGGCGCCGAAGAGGTTCCGCTGGAGCGCGCCGAGGAGCGCGCCCGCGTCGCCGACGGCGCCGCCCAGACCCTTCCGCCGGCCCGGCGCCTCGCCGAAGGGCCCGTCGGCGGCCGCCGCGGCGCCGCCGCGGCGGTCGCGGGCCGGGTGGGCCGCCGCCGCCAGCGCCGGCGCCTCGTCCACGAAGGCGTAGCACCGCGCGCTCAACCCGTCCGGCGCGGGCCCCTCGCGCGGGCAGTCGGCGAACAAGGGCCGCGCGGCGTCGCGCGCGGCCTTGCGCCGCGGGTGCGGCGCCGTGAGGAGCTGGGGCGGCGTCTGCCCGAAGTGCTTGATCTGGTCCCGCGTCGCCTCGCGCTCGTCGTCGTCGTCGATGCCGTCGACGTCGATCGCGCCCTCGTAGGTCAGATGATAGAAGACGTTGCCCCGCGTCGCGGCCTTGGGGCCCCGCTGCGCGTCCCCGAACACGAGGTCGATCCAGCCCGGGAGCGTCTCCGACACGGCCTCCGACTCCAGCGCGTCGCGGTGCGTGCGCACGAAGGCATCGGCGCAGCCCCCGGCCCACGCGGGGAGCTCGACGTCGTCGACCGCCGAGCCCGGCGCGGCCGCGTCGCCGTCGTCGCCGGGCGCGGCCTGCCGCGCGCCCAGGGGCAAGGAGTTGTGGTTCAGGAGCATCTCCGGACAGTAGAACAGCTCGGGCACGAGCTCCTTGACGTCCGTCATGGACCGCGTCGCCGACCGCCACGCGTGCGCCAGCGAGAAGAAGAGGCGGTCCGGCACGTCGAACTTGCCGCCCTGGAGCTCCACGGCGAGCCGAGCAAAGGGCTCGCAGCGCACGAGGAAGTGGAGGACGATGCCCGCCGACGAGTAGTGGGAGCCGTACATGAACTTGGGCACCATTCCCGTCGGGTCCTCGAACGTGCGAAACCGCTCGTCGAACGCGTCGCCGCGCGACGCGGGGCCGAGCGCGCCCATGGGCTTGGCGAGGTCGCGCCAGACGTCGGCCCCCGGCGGCGCGTCGAGGTCCGGCGCCTCGGACGCGTCGAAGTCGGCGAGGACCCAGGGGAAGACGGGCCACTGCGCGGGGTCCTGGAACGTTCTCCCCGCGACCTCGTTCAGCGACGACACGTACGCGAACGTCGAGATGCGCCGGCAGCGCCAGGCCTCCGTGAGCTGGGACCGCTTCAGCGCGTCCCGGCAGTCGCCGTAGGCGAGGGGCGCGGGCTCGCCCTCGAGGCGCAGGCCGCAGAACGACGTCGGCCCGTCGCCGAGGAGCGGCAGCCGCTTCCGCGCGGCGAGGCTCGCCAGGAGCTTCCAGAGGCGCCGGTGCGGCGCGTCGCCCTTCCGCGCCGGGGACCCGCCGCCGCGCCGGGGGAGCGCTAAAAACACGGACGTCGCGTTGCAGCGGTAGAGCTCGAGGGCCACGGGCTCGAGCATGTAGCGCCGCGGCGCGACCCGTTCGAGGGTCGCGAGGCGCCACGTCCGCGGCCGCTCGGACGCGTCGGCCGGCGCGAAGGACACGGACGACGCCGTCACCACGACGCTCCCCTCGAGGGCGCCGCGGTCGCCGCGGACCCAGACGCCGGCCTCGCGGAAGAGCTCGTCGCTGACCTCGACGCCGTCGTCGTCGAGGCGCCACGCGTCGACGACGGCCGGCGAGCTCGACGACGAGCTCGCGCCGTCGTCGTCGGAGGTCTCGTCGTCGTCCTCCTCCGCCGCCGCCCCGGCCCCGCCGTCGTCGGCCGCGGGCTTGGCGCGGCGGTCCGCGTGCGCCGTGCTCGCAAAGTCGAAGGCGTCGCGGTCGCGCTCGAAGAGGGGCCGCCGGCCGAGGCGGTCCGTGTGGTCCGCGACGCGCCAGCGGCCGCCGAGGCCCGGCGCGGGCGACGCGTCGGCGCCGTCGCCGCAGAAGGGGCTCCACTCGCAGCGGAGCGCGCGCGCGGCCGCGCGCCACGCGCGGTCGCAGCTGCGCTCGCCCTCGCGGCGGCGGCGCCGCGCCGCGCGGCGGTCCGCGCGCGCGCGGTCCCGCGCGCAGGCCAGGAGGCTCGCGCCCAAAGCCTCGGCGACGACGTCGGCGTCGTAGGCCGCCGGCGCCGCGCGGCCCTTGAAGCCGCGGAGCAGCGCCTGGGGCGAGCCCGGCGCCGCGGGCCGCCGCGGCCCCGCGGCGGCCGCGGCGGCCTCGAGCGCGCGCGCGAGCTCGGCGGCGCGGTCCGCGTCGCTCGCCGCCGCGCGGCGGCCCGCGTCGAGCCAGGCCGCCGTGTCGCCCGAGCCGTCGGGCCCCGCGACGGCGGCCTCCAAGTCGTCGGCGAACCACGCGCTATCGAGCCACCGCGCGCGGCGCTCGGCCGTCGCGTCGGGCCCGCCGAGCACCTGCCACCGCGCGCCGAACTCGCCGTCGCCGTCGGCGGAGTCGTGGGACTCGCGCCGCGCCGCGCCCTCGACGACGAGGCCGCCGAGCGCGTCGACGGTCGCGCGGGGCACGACGGGCCGCGGCCGCGTCGCGACGGCGCGCGCGCCGTCCGCGAGCACGTCGTAGAAGGCGTCGGCGGCGTCGAGGAGCGCGGGCCGGCCGCCGTCGCCCGCCGCGAGGTGGGCCCGGACGCGCCGCAGCGCGCCGTGGGCCTCCCTTAGGCAGAGCAGCGCGACCTTGCCCGACTCGTCGCTCCGCTCGCGCGCGCCCGCGAGGCCCCGGCGCCGCCGCGCGGCGCTCTGCGCCGCGTCCGCGGCGTCGCAGGCGTCGCGCCAGCGGGCGAGGACGCGCCGCAGGCGCCGCGCGTTGTCCGCGGCGCCCGCGGCGCGCGCGTCGAGGCAGCCCGCGAGCCCCAAGCACACGGCCGCGGCCGCGTCCGCGGCGCGGACGCGCGCCGCCGCCGCCGCCGCCGCGGCCTCGGAGTCGCCGCGGTCGGGGGGCGCCGCCGCGGCCCAGGCGTCGTCCACGAGCTCCGCGAACTGGAGGCCGACGTAGGCCTGCGCCGCGCCGTCGCCGGAGCCGTCGCCCCGGCACGCGGGCAGGGGCGCGGCGCCGCCGCCGCGCGCGTAGGCCACGGCGGGCCCCGCGGCCCGCCGCCGCCGCTTCCGCAGCAGCGCGACGTCGCGGCCCGCGGGCGTCGCGACGCGCCGCGCGACGGGCCGCGGCGGCGTCGACCCGCCGGAGCCCTCGTCGCCGGCGCTCTCCAGGGCGACAAAGGGCACGTCCGGCGTGTCGTCGCCCGTCTCGTCGTCGTCGCCGCTGTCGTCGTCCGTGAAGCCGCCGAGGTCGTCGCGCGAGTCCCAGGGCGCGCCGCGCGACGCCGCCGCGGCGACGGCCGGCGCGGCCGCGACGACGGCCGCGGCGACGGCCGCGGCCGCGAGCTCGTCGCCGCAGCGCAGGCGCGCGTGGGCGCCCGCGAGCGCCGCGGACAGAGCGGCCAGGTCGCCGGTCTCCGCCGCGACGGCCGCCGCGACGACGAGCGGGTGCGGCCTCTGGACCGCGGGCGCGCCGTGCGCGAGCGCGGCGACGACGACGGCCGCGGCCGCGCGCGTCGCCGCGTCCGGCGCGGCGTCGGCCTTGAAGCGCGCGGCGAGGTCCACGGTCTCCGTCGTCCGCGACCGCCGCCGCGGCGACCTGGCCGGCGACGCGACGGGCCGCGCGACGGCGCCGCGGCCGCGCGCGAGGATCGCGAACGCGGCCGCGTCGAGCGCCGGCGGCCGCGGCGCGGCGGCGTCGCCGTCGGCGGCGACGCGGTCGGTGACGAAGGCGTAGAAGACCTCGCGCTGCGCGTCGTCGAGGCGGTCGAAGCCGTCCGCGGCGGCCTTGGCGGCCGCGAGCGAAAAGTCGCGGCCGTCGCCGTCGAGCAGGAGCCGGAACGCGCCCGGCCCGAGACCCGGCGCGGCCGGCGCGGCGCGCCAGGCGTCGCCGAAGAGCGCCGCCGCCGCCGCGGCGCCCAGGAGGCGCCGGAGCAGCGCGAACGCCGCGGCCTGCAGGGCGTCGCGGCCGCCGCGCGCCGGCGCGGCGAACGCGCGCGCGGCGAGGAGCGCGGCGGCGGCGGCGCCCGGCGCGCGCGCGCCGAGGCGCGCGCGCTTCTCGAGGTCGCCCATGCGCTCCTCCTCCTCGAGCGTCGGCGCCAGCAC